AGATGGTCGAGTCTCAGAAAGTTGCACATAATGCATCCGGCGGTGTGTTACACTTAGTGGGTGAACTCAATTGCAAGATTGCTTTCCAGGGAACATGCTACATTTCGGACCGGTAGAATTTGAATCTTCGTAGCCTCGACTGGATTGAAAAGTTGAACCTCCTCGATGTTCCCTTGAAGCAGATCTGCAACCGAGTTCGAGCAAGTCGAGACCCATCTGCAAAGTCCGTCGAAGACATGACACGCACCCTGAAGCGAAAATTTGCTTCTGTCTTTCAGCATGGCTTGGGCCACTGTACGAAATTCAAGCCAAAACTGAACTTGCGACCAGGTGCTAAACCAGTGTTCAAGGCTAAAACACCGGTACCATATGCAGCCATGTCAACCGTTGAGCAAGAGCTCGATCGACTGGAACGTGCCGGAGTCATCACAGCCGTCAACTACTCATCATGGGCCGCACCTATTGTCGCAGTGAAGAAAGCAAATGGCAAGGTACGCGTCTGCGCTGACTTTTCAACTGGCCTCAACGCCGCGCTGGATGACCACCAGTAAGCCTTACCATGTACCGGAGGATAGCTTTGCAAAGTTGCAAGGTGGTAAGTACTTTGCTAAGCTTGATCTTTCCGACGCTTATCTGCAAGTGGATGTTGACGAAGTCTCGAGGGAGTTGTTGACGATCAACACTCATCGTGGGCTATTCCAATACAACCGCTTGCAATTTGGTGTGAAAACGGCGCCAGCCATCTTCCAACAGTTGATGGACACTATGCTAGCGGGTGTTTTTGGAACCGCTGCTTATCTGGACGATATCATAGTGCTGGGTCGAACACCGGAAGAACGCTTCAACCGCTTGGATGAAGTGCTTGGTTGCATACAGTCGTACGGCTTCCGGATCCGTAAGGATAAATGCACATTTTTCACGCCGCTCATCAAATACCTCGGGTTTACCCTCGAAAAGGATGGACGTCCACCAGACCCGGAAAACATAGAAGCCATTAGAAAAATGCCCACCCACAGATCTACAGTCTCTGCGTTCCTTTTGTGGGCTCATCAGCCACTACAGCGCATTTTTGCCTGAGACGCACCGCTTGCGTGCCCCGTTAAACAAGCTACTAGACAAAGGACAATCTTGGAACTGGACAGCAGGATGTCAGAATGCCTTCGAACGCGTCAAGCCACTGTTGTCTTCAAACATGCTTTTGACACATTTCGATCCCTCCAAAGAGATCGTCCTAACCACAGATGCATCAAGCCATGGGATTGGTGCAGTAATTGCACACACGTACACCGATGGATCTCAAAAAGCAATCGCCCATGCCGCCAGAACTTTTAAGAAAGCCGAGAAGAACTACAGTCAGATTGAGCAAGAAGCATTGGCCATAGTGTACGCGGTTAAGAAATTCCGCAAAATGCTATACGGCCGCCGCTTCAAGCTTCGGACAGATCACAAGCCCTTGCTCGCTATCTTTGGTTCGAAGAAGGGCATCCCGGCCTACCCAGCCAGCAGACTACAATGTCGGGCCCTTACCTTGGTATCCAACCCACGGACGTTAATCGCTTATTCTCACATTCCTACGGCGGCACATTCAAAAATACAAGCTTCGTTCATAGACTATTGCATACATATATACACCCATACACTTACATTCACTGTTATGCCAAATATGTACTTTTTGTACATTTTGATCACACTATGTTAGCTAAACATGATCATGCCTGTACAGGTGTGCCTCGCATTGTCGAGAATAAACGTTTATTTATTTATTTTTATGGGGTATGATTTCGAGATCCAATATCAGTCGACAGTTTCTATTGGCCAAGCAGATGCACTGTCACGCCTAATTGATACCCGTCAGCAAGAACATGAAGACACTATCATTGCCTAGGTGGAGATTGAACCAGACGTCAACTTTCTAGTAACTGATGCACTGCACTGTCTACCAGTTACCGCAGAAGCTGTACGCACCGAAACACTTCCGGACCCAATACTCAAGAAGGTTACTCAGTTTCACAAAACAAGTTGGCCACGTTCATGTCCATCTGCCGAGTTGCAACAGTATTTTCAGAGGAGACACTCACTCTCTATTGTAAACGATTGCATACTATTTTCGGAAAGTGGTCATCCCCAAGGCACTGCAGGAGCGCCTTATTCGACAGTTCCACGCCGGGTATCCTGGAATCAACCGGATGAATGCGCTTGCCCGCAGTTATGTATACTGACCCTTAATGGACAAACAGTTAGAAGAAATAGCCAGACGCTGCCAAAAATGTGCCGATGTCTTGAAAGCGCCACCGAAAGCAGAACTCTGTTCATGGCCAATAGTTACAAAGCCGTAGTGCCGCATTCAGGTCGACTTTGCAGGGCCAATCAACGGGAGAAGTTTCCTCATTATAGTCGACTCATA